ACGAAGACGTACGGTAACGGTAACGGTAAGGTTAAGTTAACTTAACCTAACCGTTTACCCGTTAACCGTAACCGTAACCGTAACCTAACGTAACTAATAACTAATATATATATATATATATATATATATATATATATATATATAGGTAAAGGAAACGTTCCCTTGATGGATGTATGAATGCACTAGACAGTATAAGCCCGTACGTACGTACGTGCGCACCATACTACTGCGAGATAGGGGATGCTTGAATGAAAATTTAGGTGAAGATATGGTAAAAAAAACTATATATAGGTATAGGTATAGATGTAGTTTAATAAATACTAAATGCTTTGAACACTGCTGCAATAGCTGTGATGTTAGTCAACTAATGAATAACAATGCAATTAGAATGCACCGCGTGACGTCAGAACGTAGGCAGACGGTACTATCAGACGTCCCTCGCCAATAGCGTGTATGAATATTCCAACCAAATTATATGTTAATTCATTATTAGGGCGTAGTAGGTGATCCTGTTCCTTTTCGTATAGATGTTCGTAACAAATATGTCAGACACATAATTATAGTAATTGTGATGCGGATAGAGTTTGCTTAAAGGCCATTTTCTACTTACGTGTAATGTATTTTTTCATAGTAGATGTGCTATAGGAACAGCCATAGAAATATAGATATATAGATATAGATATAGATATATATGTAATACATACATCTATATATAAGATGACAAAGCAACTATAGACTCTAAGAAGCTTGGATTGTGAACAACGGAGTAGGTATGTCCCCTGATAGAACCAAGACACGCTGCTGTACACGGGGTAAACCCACGCCTGTGGCAAGATACCCAGGGTAGAACCTAGTCTTATATTTGTCACTGACAGCGGTACGTAATCAGAATATACTGCGATGATGAACACAGCCCAGTGAAGTATAAATATTTATATACACGTGTGTGTAATATAGGATACCAGTGCAGTGTAGTAACGTCTACTAACCATTGTAAAACATTCAAACCCATATTTCATTCTGTTATCGATCTAAATAACGATATTCGCGCCATGCGAGTTTTAATCACATCACATATATATTTTCAGGTTTATTTTTAATTTCCACTATGCGTTACACGAGCCTATATTATTTTATTAAGTCACTTGACTTCGTAACGTCATACGTACGTACTTTCATAAAAAAAGACCCTGCATAAAGGCAGAATAGGAGTACATGTTATGCAAATTCGATCCAAGATGCCCTATAGTTGTTGGGCTTATC